AGAATCCCTTCTTAATTTCCCGTCCGTTGACTTACCAGAGTTCAGATCCACGAGAAGATGTTCCATTGACCCCTAACCATTTCTTTCAGGGCCAAATGGGGGGAAAGTTCGTGCCTGAGTCCGTTGAAACCACTCCTTTGCATCCGCGTCAACAATGGCGAAAGGTCCAGGGCATTATTTCAGGAGTGTGAAGGAGATGGCTCAAGGAATGTATTCCTGCCCCTAACAGCCGACTTCAGACTTCAGAATTCAGAATTCCGAGACCTAAAAGTTGGAGATGTAGTTCTTGTGATTCAGCCCGATACTCCAAGAGGACGTTGGCCGTTAGGACGAATTGTTGAAAGGTATCCTGGACGTGATGGTCACACCCGTGTTGCTAAAGTTGCGTGTGGCGTCAAAACTGTCGTGAGACGAATTAATAAACTGATTCCGCTTGGAATTAATTTTTAATCACTTATTTAGGAACACACTAGGACTACCTCCCAGTGTTGGGAGGGGGAAAATGCTAAGAAGAAAGTACGGGATTGGCGTGTCGTGCGGTTTGCGCGCGCGCGCGCTGAGACATTTAAATTTTATCAGTTCGTACGCAAGTTACGCGCACGATTTCTCGCGTGTGTATTTTTCAGTTTTATTCGCATTTTTTTTCAGTTTTACCGTCTTTTAACCGATTAAACGTGCCTGCTTTTTTAGGACATTTTCGTTATCACTTCCGAACAATCTTTAAATTCAAAACTTTAAGTGAACTCGTGGCAATCGGAAGAAACTGTTGAAGAAAAGCGGAAGCAGTGCAAGTTAAGGTGGCTGGTACCAGTTTCATCTTTTTGATGGTTTGTTGCTTTGGAAGAATATAACAAAAAGACTAACCAAGGCCAGTTGAACACTTTTACAGGGTTGAAGTATATAACCATTGGTTATCCAAAAATAGGTGTTATTTCATCACCAGCAGTTTCCATGGCAACACTTTCATAGGACTATTCAGACGCCTATTTTAGCTTATGGCTCAAATAATTTGAAAACTAACTCGGCGACCCTGTGATTTTTCTTAGTGACCGCTTTTGGCACTTGAAAAGGAAAATGCACAAATTTAGAAAAATGCAATTTTCACGCATCGCAAAAAAGAACATCTGATGTTCAGAAATGTTTACTGCTCAGAACTTCATTTAGCAGCCGTTAAAGACAGCCTTCCGGGCCCACCTTGAAAGATGTACTTCCAGCTTCTGACTATATTAGCCATATTTTTATTGAAAAACAACGAGCGAAAGTTTGAAATGGAAAACACGTGTTGGTTGTCGCTTCGATCGGAATGTTTGTTTAGAGATTGTGAGTCTTCTAATAGGTAAAACGTTATGCCTGAGATTTTTTCGGGCATCTCTCCTTATTCTTCGTTCCTGGTTTCTTCGAAGTGTCTAACTATGGCGGCCAATATCCTCTTCGTCCGTGTGACTCGTGTTGTCTTCGCCGATGAAGTTGTTGGTGGATCAGACAATATGGCGACTAGTCCTCTTATACCAAACCTTGTGTACAGTTTGTGAAGGTCATCGTAAGAGAGATCACTGTCAGCGATATTTTGTGCCATTGATCTTTTAATTGGTCCGGTGTCGGTTACGTTGAACAAGTTGTCACTGAATGTTAGAAGAAGTTCGTGGCGTTGATCTAGGTAGAGCATGTTTGCCACTGCGTGGGGAGCACTGATGATACTGGAATTCTCAACGATGTTTTTCCTAGAGAGGCTTAATGACGATCCAAAAAGAATTTTTCTCAGCGCCCTGACATTTTCTAAAGCATCATGGGCGTGTAAATTGTTCCTTGAACAAATGGTTGTAAAAGTTGCTTTGGTTTGGTTTGCAGTATCCACTAGAATCGAGCTCAAGTGCTTTATGTTTGTTTTTAATCAGTTATTTCATCAGATGTAGACTATCCGCAAAGTAGACATTCATGTCAGTAATGCCATCCTTGAAGTTTTCATCACTATTTCTTAGGAGAGTAGGGACATCGAACGTTGCCGAATTATGACCAATTAAAACAGTTATTTGATTTTCATGTCACTCAGAAGACTTGACGTTAGTTATAAGAGTCAGGAAGTCACGAAGTGCTTCCTCTATGGTTATACTTTCGACAGGAATGTTTCCTTGGCACAATGTCTTTACTCCTTTTATGGTCTTTATGGTCATGCCATTGACAAGGTAGGCACTGTAACTTATGTTGCTTTTGGGAGAATGTAAGTGGAGAATTCATGTTTCCCATTTCCACTTACAGCAGACAGTTTGCACATCTCAGCTAGCTTCCCTGTGCAAGTCGTTTATGTGTCAAAGATAACGAATTGATATTTCTGTTTTGAATCATATTGTAAGTGCACAATCTTCGGCCTTACAGTGTAGGGTGGTATTATTTCTTCATATCATTTTAGCTCAGTTTATAATTAATTTATTTATAACCTTTGAACTGAGAATTGAGCAATTCAATCCTTTGAAGCAGTCTCTAAGATTGTATAGTCTGGTATTGAGGGATTTCTTGGCATGACCAACATCGGACCATTTCTCAACACCATAAGGGACTTTGTTCTTTATGTCTGCAAGGGTTGTTGAGTCATCATCCCGTACATAAATTGAAAATTTGACTCCAGATTGAGGAGCTTTTCTCCATAGTTCACGAGCAGCATCTCTTTCCATTGATTTTGATGACCATAGTGATTATTTCAACAATCATGCTCTTTTTCTTTCCCAGTTAATTTGTTATGGCTACATACTTGACACATCTTGCATCTTGTGGAGTAACTCACAACTTTTCCAGCAGCGAGACCCATAGCAGCCCCATGACCAGTTGCAGAGTTACGTCCCCTTCCCCTTTTTTGCCAACCCATATCATAGGAGACAGCTACTCCAGGGAGATGGTCTGCAGATAGACCAGGAGATTTCTCGACAATTTTTTTTTCTTCTAAATTTAATTTAAATTTACAGCTGTTTGTAGCAACTTTCTCTAGGGCATTTCCAACTTCTCTTTCTCTTCTTTTAAACAGGTTAAGATTCTTTGTTGGTACATTCTAGAGAGTAAATTATTTAGGTGGGTATTCCCCATGCCAGCATGGAGGGATCCCAATACTGCCCTTGTGTTGATATCGTTAACAAGAGGACCACGACCTACAGCTCTGTGTTCAGCAGAGTATTTTGCTTCATTTAAGTGACCACAGAAGCTACATTTAATTCTGAAGGTACCACTGAGACCACTTTGTTTTTCTTCCATAATGTTTACAAGGGATAATGGACCTGTGGGTGCAATAAATGGCCTAGTGATTAATGTCATTTATTTATGCAGAGAAGCAAATAGTTAGAGGAAAGCAAACAATTTAAGAAAGTGGAAGTTCAAGATGACAGGAGGTAAGATATTGTACTCTGAAATTTGATCAGCAAGAAAAGTCATATTTGAGCCTGTCTAAATGCCCATACGCAATAGCTAAAAAAAGTTTCCTGCACTGTGTTAAACAATACTAGTAATATTTTAAAATATTTTATTTAACCTAAAAATTATTTTACCCACCTTACACAACAATACCAGAGACAAACATTTTAATATACTCATATGAGATTTTTAAAAATATCTATTATTTTTACCGACTTATTTTGATTTGTGTGTCTCTTTTTTTTTTTCTTTTTGAAAAAAAATATATCTTAAGGCTCCTACAGGAACTTACCTCTTTTGCAGCTTGAGCAAGATTTCAACTCATTTCGAAGAACTGGAAGTTCAATCAGTTTTGTACCACAAATATCAACCTCATATTTAGTGTGCTGTAATGATAAAATTTTTGCTTAGCTATTTGATTTCGGGTATTTGATTATCAAGAATCAAAAGAAGAAAAGGGAAGAAGAAAACGTAACAAATCTCAGTCGAACCAGCCAAAATGCAACAGCGATGTAACACATAACTTACCTGTTGTGACCTCTTTTTTATTTTCCTTGGAGGTTCGCAGTCTTTCTCTTCTTCTGGCAGATTTTCTTTTACTTGAGTTCTCTCTTTCCTTTTGCTGTCACGAGATTTCGTATCGATTGGATTTTTCGTTTCGATGCGAAGCAACCTTTGTGCCGCCGAGAACCATCTTCTTTATTTTCGTTTCTGTCTCCTGCATACGCAGTGGCCGTTGAATACATCAAATGCACTCTGGTGGGCAAACTTCTTACCAAATAAGACAAGAAATGCGTAGACCGAAGAAAGCCTCGCGCCGCCATGTTTGTTTTGAATTTTTCGCCTTTTAAATCTCGCGCCTCCTTCGCGCGTTTCTCTCGCGCGTTGTAACAATAGGATTGTGTTACATCAGGCGACCTTACGCAAGGGACACGTGTTGGAAAACAACTGAGTAAAGGCAGAAGTTAAGTCTTTTGTTTTGTCGTTTATAATCTTGCGACTCGTTACATATAATCTTGCGGCTCGTTACATGGTGTCAGAAGTGAGATTCGTCGAACAAAATGCCAGATGAAACACTTGGAACGCCCAGCACAAGCGCTGCCGCGGAGCGATCAATCTCTCAGCTCAAACCGCCCAGCAATTTGGATTTCGGAAATCCCTGTGAGCTCCCACATGCCTGGAAAAGATGGAAAGAATAAATTACCCTGTACATGGACTTGGCAATGGATGGGAGAGAAGAAAAGACGAAGGTAAAACTCTTTCTTTATATTATCGGCAACCAGGGACGAGAGATATACGACACACTGCCATTCGCCCGCGGCCCAACCGAACGTTCGCTCAAGGATGTGATCGATGCCTTTAAAACACAATGCAACCCCAAGAAAAACGAAACAGTAGAGCGTTATAAGTTTTTCACTAGGGTGCAAGAAGAAGGAGAGCCGCTAGAAAAATTCATAGTTGACCTGAAGATCTTAGCCTCAACCTGTAATTTTACCACCAGCGGGAGTCACTGGTCCGTGACCGAGTTATCTGTGGAATTCGTGACTCAAAGCCTAGAGAGGATCTTCTAAAAGTCGCCGACTTGGATCTTGATAAGTGCGTCAATGTCTGTCGAGCCTCCGAATTATCGAAAGAAAGGAACAGTAGCACTAGTATTGAAATACTACGAGCCAATGGAAGAACTCACCCTCCAAAGCGATGCCTCACAAACAGGTCTAGGTACAGTACTCACTCAAAACGGCCAGCCCCTTGCATTTGCCATTGGAGCCTTGTCAGACACCGAGACCAGATATGCCCAAATAGAAAAGGAGCTCTTGTCAGTAGTTTTTGGGTAAGAGAAATTCCATCAGTAGACACATGGCCGAAAAGTTACGGTACAAACTGACCACAAGCCGCTTGAAGCCATCGTAAAGAAGCCTCTCCACATGGCCCCGAAACGACTCCAGCGCCTGCTGCTACGATTGCTAGTATATGATGTTATCCTCACTTATAGATGTGGCCGTCAAATGCAGCTAGCAGATACGCTTAGTAGAGCATACTTGCCGCTCACCGATGCGACACCGTTCGAGATGGAAGTTCAAAGTGTAAACATGGTCCAAGATTTGCCGCTCGCAGCAGCTAGACTGGATGATGTCCAAGCCCACACTGCCAAGGATGACACCTTAAAAGTACTGACCAGAGTCATCCTGGAAGGCTGGCCGGAAGACAAAACTGCCATTCCTGCTGCAGCAATGCCCTACTTCAGTGTTAGGGACGAGCTTAGCGTCCAAAATGGGATAATCCTTCGTGGAAAAAGGGCACTAATTCCCAAATCACTCAGACATGATATGCTAAGGCGGATCCACATGTCCCACATGGGTGTGGAGAGGTGTCTACGACGGGCAAGAGAGTGCGTGTACTGGCCTGCCATGTCCAGTGAGGTGAAGGACTTTATTCTGAAGTGCGACATTTGCCGTTCTGTTGACAACAAGCAGCAAAAGAAAACTCTTATTTCCCATGATGTCCCCGACCGTCCGTGGGCCAAAGTGGGGGTTGATTTGTTCACGTTCAACCAGACCAACTACCTGATAATCGTGGATTACTTCTCTGGGTTCTGGGAGATCGACCCTCTAGAAAACACTACAGCCAGTCACAATCAGAAAGATGAAGATGCAGTTTGCCCGACATGGTATTCCCGATGTCTGTGTTTCAGACAATGGCCCACAATTTACAGCTCATGAGTACAAGAAGTTCAGCAAGCAATGGAAATTTGAGGTAGTCACGACTTCACCGAGATACCCCAAAAGCAATGGAAAAGTTGAATATGCTGTCGGAGCAGCCAAACGACTAATGAAAAAAGCGAAGAAGAATTCTTCCGATGCTTACCTTGCTCTCCTCGACTACCGCAATACGCCAACACAAGGCTTAGATACCAATCCAGCCCAGCGACTGATGAGCCGCCGAACGAAAACCCTCCTGCCAACAACAAAAAATCTGCTGGTTCCTGAAGTAACCATGGGGCATCATCAGAAGATTCTGGCCAACAAACAACGCCAAGCGAAATACTACAACAAAGCAGCTCATGATCTCCCCGCGTTCATCTCAGGAGACGTTGTTAGAGTGAATCTCTCCCCTGACAGCCTCAAACAAGAAGACCTGCAGAAGGCACAAGTCAAGGCCAAGGTCGGGGTCAGGAGCTACGAGGTAGAAACAGAAGACGGCAAAAGATTTCGACGCAATCGCATTCACCTAAGGAAATCAAATGAGACCTTCAGCACTCGCCAACCGGTGGGGAAGTCGTCATTTGGCTATGTTCCAGCAGCGTCAACAGCCAACCCCCTGGGCTCCGTCACCCCACCTATCGATCTTGTCGCTGATCAGTCGCCAGTCGGACCAGCTCCAATTCATACCACAGATCCGCTCGGAAATTCCAGTGAGGTAGTTACTACACTGCCAAATGGCAGTCCTTACCGTACCCGGCACAGCCGTGAGATCAAGCGACCGAAGCATCCAAGAGATTATGTCAAGATAGAAATATTAAACAATGTTTGAGTTTCAACTTAATTTAAGTTTAGGTTATGGTGATCGTTAAGACTTTAGCCTTTGACTCGTTGATTGGGAGTTTATTTGAGTCGGCCCAGTGACATATTTCATTTGCGGAGATATTTAGGGAAAGTTTAAGTTCAAGTAAATTATTAAAGAGAGCAGATGCTGCATCAACAGCATAGAGGTCTACTTTTGAACTGACATGCAGTGGTAGATCGTTGATGAATAGTATAAAGAATAGTGGGCCTAAAATACTTCCCTGAGGAATTCCATGTTTCATCGGCACCCCACTTGACTACTTTCCACTCAGGTGAACTACTTGCTTCCTTCCAGTCAAATAAGACCGACACCATTTAAGCTCCGTATTCACGATGCCATATGCCTCCAGTTTCTTCAGTAATAGTTCATGGTCGACCATACAAAATGCTTTTCAATAGTCAATAAGCACCACTCCAGAGACCCTGCCCTTGTCCAAATTAAATAGGTCATCGATTATCCTGATGAGGGCAGTTTCAGTTCTGAGGTTTTTGCGAAAACCGGACTGCCTTGAAAAAATCAAGTTATCATCTCAGAGAAAAGTGCATAACGTATTGTGCACATGGCGCTCAATGACTTTCGACAAAACCGGTAACACTGAAATGGGACGATAGTTACACGGATCACTTTCAGCGCCATTCACGGGGCATGTAATGAAATCTACAAGCTGTTTGGAATGCAAATTACGAATTCCTTTTGCAAGGCGATGTTTACCATAGCCCAGTTTCTCTCTGAAGTCGATGTTGATATCGGAAAAGACCAAAGTTTCTTTATTTAATAAATGAACCCTTTCGATGCTCGCTTCAATGCTCATGTCGTCAGCTTTGTTCGAAGAAGGTGGTCAATAATTAAATGCTTGCAACTTTGTACAATATAGCACGTAGACCGTGCCAATTTTATAACACGCCTCTTAAAGTTAAAGTTGCTTTCGATTTGTACAAGAAGTACGTCCTAAGCTTTAAGGCTTTTTAGCTCACCGATACGCCCGGCCGATATACGATACTCAATATCCAATGCAACTTATTCGCCAAACATGAAAGAATATCTCGACTTATTGTCCATCATTTAAAACTGTGTTTGAGTTTTTTCCTTCATTTTCGAATTCCTCATTTTCTTTACCTTTAGTTCCTGGCGCGTAGCACCTCGCCATCTCGTAGTCCGTGAAGAAAACATCAAAAGAAGCGTTACAGTTAACTAATTTAGTCATGGAGCTAGTAGAGCACGCTAAACGTGTCAATTTGCGATCGTGTTCTACTCGACTATGGAATTACCACAAAAGTGTAAACCAGAGTTAGGAGAGGTGATAACTAACTCTGTTTAAGCCAAGCTTTAAGGATAGAATTATTTTACACCGCACACCGCAATTCAATGGTTTTTGTGCTAAAAGCTAAAAAATGGGTCTCCGGAGAATTCGATGAACCGAAAAATTTACTGATTAAATGGTTACTTGTCTGAACCTTGGCTGAAAGACGGCTAAAGACGCTTCACAACCAAACCCTATTTCAACTCATCTCTCTTGTCAAACGCATTTGTGCTTTGGTCCAAGAATGTAACTATAAAGGAGTTAATTTCTTATCATGAAACATCCAGAGAAGATAAATAAGCGAGACAAATCCAGGACAAAAAGGGGCACGATCACGATAGGTTAAAAAGGCCAATACCCGGAATCCGATTTTGACAAATTCCCACACTTGAAACAAAGTAGTAGCGTATGTTAAACGGAAAGAATTCTGTGAAATTAACCAAATGAAGAAAATGAACGTTTGCCTTTTTTTTTTTTTTTCATGCAATACCTTCCACTCAGCTGACTCGGAGGAGTAACTCGATGGCAACTTTTCAATTTTCGAACTACTCGACATATCGATTGTCATAAAAATAAAAGGAATGCGGGAAAAAGCCGACATAATTGAGAGAGTGATCTGTTGTGACTGACATTATGCAATTTCATATTTCTGTTTACCAGCTTTGTTCACCTCGAATAGAAGATAATAGAACAGATTTAACTTCTATCGAATTCAATATCTAACAATCGCGTTTCATGGTCTGGCGAAAAAGGCATATTTCACGCATACTGCACATGCCGGTGCAAAACGCGGTCTCGCTTAATGGGTCGAAGAACACGATATGCTTCACGTGATCCGCCCTTGAAATGAGTCGTTTTGCTTCATGACTTTACGTAAGGTGCATCCAATTTTTCTGCGTTAAGTACCGTTCTGTCTAAATGGCTGGAAGAACACAATATATATCAAGTCTTCCGAGCTTGAAATGGGCTGTTTTGCTTTAGGGCTTTAAGAATGAGGCATGAAATGAGCTGTTTAGCTTCATGGCTTAAAAAACGGGCCATATTTCATGCATACTGCATTTGTTAACGTAAAGCGCTGTTTTGCTTAAAAGGCCTGAAAAACAAGGTATAAATTGAATTCATTTGCGCTTGAAAAGAGCTGTTTCGCTCTATGGCTTTAAGAACGAGGCGTATTTCTTTTATACCACACTTGTCTGGGGTTAGGTTAGCCACAAAACCAGTAATTTCGGTGGACGTGGATGGACACCGTTGGATTCCCATAGACCCCATCGGATTCCATTCGACAAATAGGTATCGGAGGATACCATCGGACAACATTATGTGCCGTCTCTGATTTTCACCTGACTTCCGGTACCTTTTTCGCGTCAAACGTATCTTACTTCCCTTGGAAGGTGTCAAGAAGAGAATTTTGCCAATTCCATCGGAAAACAACGTTACCCATTGGTGTATATTGGAAATGTACGTAAAAAAATTCGATATCTACCTCTATCGTCTGATCTTTTTAACGACATTGTTCTTGACATTAATCATAAGCTCGCAGGTCTGCTCTCACCTAAAGCTGAGCACCATAGGCAGCTGCGCAGCAATAGAAAGTTTTACGTGCCAGTGTGCAAGACTGATCGTCTTAAAAAATCTTTTATTGTCAGTCATAGCCTAAGTATGTAAATGAATTTGTTTAAGTATGTATATTTTCCTAAGACAAGGTTATCCTATGTGAAATGTTTTTATTAGATTGTACATTTCTATTATTATGGTTTTTTAAATCCATTTTAATTATAACTTGTATATTATACACGTAATTCAGTCTTCGGACTGCGAGGTGTTTCTTTTTTAATAAACGATTTATCTTTATCTCTTTTTTTTCTTTTTATTTTTTTTAACTACTTAGGTCAAAGAAAAACAAAACAGAAAATAAGGTAAATGTAGCGAGATAAGGAACAATCGAGATATGATCTCTGGTGAAGTTTAGAAACGTGATTTAAAGATAACAGATAAACCATGTCCTTCTCGACAACATAAAAAGTAATGGCAGTGATAACTTTGGAAAATTTATTCTTGTTGTTACTACCCTGGACTGGGTAAAAATATGTTCTGAATAATCTGAATTTAGATCTTCACAGTTTAACGCGTGTTGTATTATAGGTGGAATGGAATCAACATTAGTTGCTTACAAAATATAACAATAAGTGTTGTACAAAACACAATTTTTAAAGTTTGAAATAAAATAGTATCGATAGTATCAAATATGAAGTTACAAATGTTTTACTTACAGGTGAGTCAACTCGGTGTTGCTAGCGAAGACTCTAGGCGGTAGATTTTCTATTTGGTTGCCAAGGAAGTAACTACAAAGATTAGGCATATGAAGAAGCGTGATTAAATAGTTACAGCAGGTTAAAGAACTGGATAGAATTCAAATCCTTATAAGAAGAAAATAAGGATCATTTAAATGAATATTTAATGTTTTTTTGCTGTTTTTGTCCTTGTTGTCCTTATTGTTGTTGTTTTTCTATCTACAGAGGCGAGTGGATCATATTATGATTTTTTCAACCCATCATTATCCAGTTTGGGTTGTTTAGACGTTTCTTTAATGCTCTTTTGAATGCAAGTGCCTCTATTCGCCGATTACTTGATATTGTGAAGAACATTATGTTTCCAATGGTATTTGTCTTTATCTCGAAGTTGAGTTGTTAAATGATGTAGCATTGCGATCGTTTTGTGTATTACACCACCTGCTATGCCAATAGCTTAAAGTTCTAGAAACTGTTACTCATGTTACTCATGTTGGGACATGCGTTTTAGTAAAATCCTGGAACAGTTAAACTAAAGCTAATAGGTTTGCAGGTTAAATAATTCAGC